TTCGGAGAAAACCTATCTTGAAGAGCCACATTTTCATCAAAAACTCATTTTTGAGAGGGTCTCCCAGTCGAAAGGAATGATGTACGCATCTGATACTTTTATTGGAGACACATCTTTGCTAGTTCCAGCATCAGGGAAAACTTAAGAGCTCTATCTCGTTCTAGTCACAAGCTATCAAGCCTCAAACAAGCCCAAGCTGTAACTTTTTTTTACATATTGTATGGATCATACAAAACTAAGACCTCACTGTAAGTAGAACACATCTGAATATGTGTCTACAGAATGTTTCAACTCAATCCGATGTACCATTTTGGAACTATAGAGTCTCCAAAAATAGCTTTTTGAAAGTTATGATTTTCAAGGCTTTTCGTAGAACATTTATAGAAACTTTAAGGTTCAATATTTTTTCGAAACGGTTTGCGCTAGACTTTATAAACCTGTTCTCTCTACAAGGTTGTACCAAATTGAGCAGGATCTGAGAAGTTCGATTGAGCAAGTCCGGTCGTGGCTTACATGGATTGGCTCTGATGTAGCAATCTGATTAAGACATAAATATGAAATTATTTATGAAAATAAGATGACTGGTTAAATTTTCTGCCTGCAGAAAACCATCATTTTGGTCGGATACTGGTCTGAATGTTGAATTATCAACTTTTACTTTTTTAAATATGAATGAAGAGTCTAATTTATGGACTCGAACTCATCCAGTTCTAGCCCATATTACCTTAAACCAAGCTTAAAATACGTTCTCTGAGAAAAATTGGCCCCTTCACCTACGAATAGTCCGCCATCATAAAAGTTTTAGATTCGCTACTGATAAGTGTCAGTATTGTAATGACAAATGTGCGAAATTTAGTCTTATTTAATAAGATTGTCAAATCACGAGTATACAGAAGTCATAAAAGTAAACAGATAAACAACACTTATCGGTTATTATTTGTTCATTAGTATCATCAATGAGGATAGGAAGTACGTCCGTCCTGCTGTCCTATTCTGTCTTGTCCTGTGCGGCAGGACAGAAAAAGTTGCTCTGTGATCATTGCTGATTAGTGCCCAGATCGATAACAAAAAAACCTTACCACTTAAAGCTCTGTTTTACGTTTATCTCAATGAAAGCTCAATAGTAAATTAGTTTTTTTTACTATTAAGTCTATCTCAGTAGGAGATGAGTGGTGAGTCATACGAGAAAAATTTTAGATGAGTTTTTTCGTTTGGATATATATTTCAGCAGAAATATATAGCAAATAGTATTATAAGAAAAATAAATAGTTTTAATTTTTTTGTTTTTAGATTTGATTTGAAACTAACGCAACAGTGAGAGATATTAAAATAAAACAGAAGTTGTATGTATAGTCAAGCTTTGGTTAAAACTTTTTGAATAGATTGTTTAGTGACACTTTCTACAGGTTGTGAAGAGCGTTGATGTGGATACAGCAATATTTCTAGTTGGGCTCGTAGTCGATGGTATAACTTGCATTCTAATGCTTTCGTTGAGTTTGAAAACTTTTAATCAGTTTGCAAGATGAGCATTAGATAAATCGTCATAGCTGTCTTAGTTTAGGGTTTCTAAGAGTACGTTTTTTTTAAAGTGTACGAACCGTTAGAATTCGTAAGCATAACTTGATTAATGAACGATGGAAATAGAAAAAAAAAACTTTTTTTCAGATAAACTTCAAATAATGAGTCAGTGTGCAGCATCAGTGAACGACAAGGATAATGAACCAGAAGTGGAAGTCATTGGCGATGAAATCAAGAAAATTTCTTTCGATGATAATCATAAAAAAATAAAACATGTTTGTATTCTAAATGTTCATCCAAATTATACGATTGAAGCTGTTCATGGAAATCATTCAAAAATCTCTCCTACTGAAGAAAATGAACAGCTTCCATTGTTTTATCCACATGATGCTGAACAAGTATTGAAGGAATTAGATCAAAATATAATTGTTCAAACGGTTAATCTAATACCAAATGTCAGACAAAGTATAGCAAGTATTCGTCGATTGAAAAATCAAATTGATATATTTATTAATTTATACGATAATGCAGATGATACAGGAATAAAAATTGTTGACTACATGCAAAATCAAGGTATTGCATTCACTGGAGCTAGTACACATTTTTATGATCCAACACGAATTGAATTAAAGCGATTATGTCGATATTGTCGATTGCCAACACCGAAATTTGCATTAGTAACTGATCCAAAAAGTTATGATGATGATTCTTTAGCTAAATTATCGAAAACATTGGGTGATTTTCCATTATTTGTTAAACCTGAACATGGTTACGATAGTAAGTTCTTTTTATTCATCTGATACCTCGGCCCATTAATCCTATACATGTAAAACTCGAATAGTCATAACGACTAAAACCACACACACATACTGTGGGTATCGCGGAACACTGATAAGATCATAACGACAAAAAATTTGCAGACATGCTTCGGGTACCATCGAACAGGAATAGTCGTAAAGCCGCAAAAGCGTTAGTAGTTGAATAGTTGTATAGTTGAAAAGTCGTTACGACTTAACGATTTCTACACTACTGACTTAATGAAAGAAAATAGATCACATATCACATTCATTACTCGCTTTGTCTATCGGTTTGATTTTTCTTTTGATATTTGTCCAACTGGAAAGATTGAAATTATTTGTGTGTTTTTCATGGCAAAACTAGGTGTTGGTATTGATGAAAAATCATTAATTTTTAATCCAACAGATTTAAAAGAATGTTGTATAAAGATCGTCGACGAATTTGGAGGTGCTCTAATTGAAAAATATATAGAAGGACGTGAATTTACTCTCTTGGTTGCTGGTAGCAAAGACAATATTCATGTTTTTCCTCCTGTTGAGTATCGTTTTCCTACCAATAAAACATTTATCACATTCGATGATAAATGGGATCAAAATTACACTGACACACATTGGTGTTTATTAAATAAAACAAATGAACAAGAAGAACAACTAATTGATGATTTAATATTATTAGCTAGACAATTATATGAATCATTCAATGGTGATGGATATGCTCGTATTGATATACGACAAGACAATAAAACAAAAGAATTATTCATACTAGATTGTAATCCAAATTGTAGTTTATTCTACAAAGATTCATGTTCTGCTGATATAATTATAGAATTAAGTGGATGGTCAAAAGTTAAATTTATGAAATTTCTATTTGAACAAGCTTTAGAACGTCAACAACGATACAATTTGACACATTCTTATACAATTAAATATTTACCACAAAGCGGTGTTACAATGTATGCATCAAGAAATTTGTTTCAAGGTGATTTAGTTTATTCACAAGAAAATACTTCATTAAAATTAGTAACGAAACAATTTGCTGAACAAACATTCAGTAAAACCGAACTTATATGGTTCAACCATTATGGTATGTATGATGCAAAGATGTCTATAGCATCGCGGGAGATGTTTTAACAGTGCATAATGTCAGCTTTCTTTGAAACTACATTGCAAAATTGCATAGATTTCTAGAGGATTTTAGTCTATACAAATATATCATCTTAAGGCTTAATGAATTTAATAGATTAGTAACAAGAATACTAATCCAGTACCTCGATGACATCAGTTTTCGAAATATTTTCTGGAATTTAATCATGGTGGCAACGACTTTTCTTCAAAGTTCGTCGCAACAGGGACGCGACAGCAGCAGATTTTTAGCTGCAATGGATATAAATTTTATGATGGATTTTAATTTTTTTTTACAGATATAGCAAGAGTTAACCTATTATTTTATTGTTTCAGCATGGCCAATTTGTGACAATGTCTTTATTCTTTGGCATGAAGATAGTCGGAAATGGCAACCAATCAATCATTCATGTGATCCAAATGTATGGATTAATGGCTTAGATTGTATTGCAAGAAGATATATACGTAAATATTTTTAGTCTGAATAAAACACTGTAATCATTGTTCAAAGTTTCAATGATAAGAATTTATCGAATTTGATCGAATGTATCGTTATCATCATCTAATCAGATAGTGTTGGAAACAGATATGATCATAAATTTTTACTGTTTCTCATATTCAAATACGACATCAATATCCATAAGATCTTGTCTTTCGCATCCAATTTTTGTCTTATCTGCAATCAACCTCGTGTGATATATCTAGGAAGAGAATCATTGAGCAATCATCTATATTCGAAGACTTACCATTCAGTGAATTTTTGAGAGTGTTTAATATTGTTCAGTGCTAAAAAAATTTTTAAATGATAGTTATAGAAAGAAAAGTTGAATTAGCTATTTTCTTGTAAGTATTTTTTATTTCTAAAGTCTACTCATATCAGTGTTCTCATTAATTAATAATCGAATGTTTAGAGAACATACTAGGGCAGAAATATAAAATGGTATTCAGATATTAACTATTTGAATGTCGACATTAAGATGAGGAAGAAATGATTTTGCAGAAAATTTATTCGTTTTTCATGGAACAATTCTATAATGCATCTTAATAAGAGAGTAATTTGAAAAGGGTTTGAAGCCTAGCGTTTGTTTTTTACGCAAATAGTTCTAAAAAATATACATTATGAATGACTACTTTAGTTCACGAGAAGATAAGGCTCCGGATACATATATGCGTCGATGACAACCAAAGGATTAACAATCAGTATTACTACACAACATCTAAAAATCTTTCACTATTATCGTTATTATTCAGACAAAAATGTTTTATGATGACAATTTCAATACAGAGAAATTTCTCTATCAGTTCTATGCATCATGATTAGAATTCTTACTTTGTTTTCTAAAAACAAAATGTTTTCAAAAGATTCTTTCAAGAAATATTTTTATCCGAAAACCATTTTCATCTGAATGGAAAAGATAAGAATGAAGAAAACTCAAATAATGTTCTACCATTGAGATGACAAATTGTGAAATCATTACTGAGTTTCCTGTAACTTTATCAGGTCTTTATGACACTCAGAAATTTGAAATAAAAAACTTAGTATGTATTGAATTCAATGAAAATTACTAAAAAATAAATAACTTGCCAAGGTTATGTCGATTATTTAAAACGTAATCTTCTTTATATGAAATAAACCTTTTTTTTTTCTCTTTATTTTCTAGCTGTAGGAGAAGAATTAACAATTGATTATGCAACATATCTGACCACAATACCAAGTTTCCAATGTTGGTGTGGTGCATCTATATGTCGTGGTCAAATAAAACCTGATGCATATAAAGAAAAGTGGTTTCAAGATCGTTACGGTTCTCATGTGAGTCCATATATTTTGATGTTAATTGAAAAAGAAAAAATTCTAAACAAGAATTCAACAAATTAGTATTTTCAACTTTATTTATTGACAAATATATATATAACATTATTTCAATAGTTATTACTCTTTATCTTTTACTAACCTTGACTAATCAATGATATTTTTTAATATTGGAAATAAACAACGTTTATTTTTCTGTAAAGAACAATATTATTGACAAAAGTTCATTCTCGATAGGTTAAGCATTTCTTCGAACTGTGACATTGTCTTTTAATCAATTCAAATAAGTTTTGGTTTGTTAATGATGGTAATTTAGTATATTGTACATCTGAATTTGTTTACTTAGAAATAATTTAATATAATAGTCACCAATAATTATTATAAAAAAAAAATATTTCTCGGCACCAATATTGTTAGCAAATATCTTTCTATTTCACAAATCTTATCATTTTTATTTATTTCAGTGTCTCATTTGATTGAAAATATATTTTTTCTTTATTAAATTTTGCCCAATAACAGAAATAAAAATATCTTGAGAGGAGCAAAATTGATAAAGATTAACTGTTAATTAAAAAAATGATTCAATCTAATCAAACCATAGCAGAAAAAGTACGATCATTTATTTCACTTGTATTTTCTTCCAAAATCAGAAGAATAATAATGCTACTTATGGAAAAAACAATGAAGCAGGATAATTTTCAAAAGTAAAATAAGATAAAAAAATATGACTAATATATATTATAAGAGTTATACGACTGATAGGTCAAGTCCTAATCTAATTTTCATTTGAACAAAAAGATGAAGAAACAAAATAAAATTTTTCGTCTTGGGAAAAAGTGAGAAAACTGACTGTTTTCCTTACTTTTAACTTAATTCCTTTACTTGAAGATGTGGGTGCGGGAGTGTGGGTGAGAGTGAGGCTGGTTGTGGGTGAATGTACCTCACGGAAGAAATTTTTGAATAGAACCGTGGTATTTGTCGAAAAAAATCGTGGCTTCCAAAAACGGTGAAAGTCGGACCATTTATTAGATTTTTAGAAACCAGTCAACACCGCAGTGCAGGAATACCGCAATGAGCATATAGAAAACCGCGGTGTGAGTTAATTTTTTCTCACTTTAACCGTGGTTATGAGAATTAGGAATGCACCAAATCCAGTCAAACCCAAATCCTAGGTTTGACTGGATGGGTGTGGGTGTGTAGGTGTGGGTATGGGTGTTTGGGTGTGGGTGGGTGTTTTGGTGTGGGTGTGCGGATGTGGGTGTGCGTGTGGGTGCGGATCTGGTCTTCACTCATACCTACACTCACATCCACACACCCACACCCTTAATCTGCGTTGTTAGGCGTCTATATGCAATCAATTAGTCTGTGTATTAAGATGTCGATGAATTGATATTTTCTATAATATTCAATATATATCAATGTTTATTGTACAAACTATTGACTTTTTTATTTGTCTTCTCGTTTGGTTTTTTCTCGGTGTTAACTATGCATCAGTCAAATGTAAATATTAATTATTCAAATCTCTTCAACATTGCTCGCGATACTATCCATACATTAGAGAGTTTTATTAAAGAAAATACTTTTGTTTTTTGTTTAATAACTTTTTAGATATTTTAGAAATTAGAAATTAAATTTGAAGAGAATGAATAAAAGATTTCATCAGAATAGCAAGAATATATGAATCGATTATTTTCATTAAAGAAGTAATGATCGATAAGTTTTAATCAATTATGAGTAAATAAAAGAAATTATTTCTCTAAAACGTTGGTTTCCGTAAATGAATTTTGGTTTTTTTATTTTAGATGAACGTTATTTTAATTTTTTTTAAATTTTAGACAATGTCAAACATTTCAATCGCATTTCTTGGATTGACTTCTAGAAGTCAGGGGTATAAATAGGGGGCGCGTGAAGCTTAACGGCTCCTGCTTCTGAAAATTTGTTTTTTTTTGTTTGAACACCAAAACAGGAGAAAAAGATATTACGATTTCTCTGCTTTTGCGACTCTGGGATAGAAAGGGTTACGCTCTTCCGTTCTCGGAGCTGACTCGCATTTCCTGCTAGAAGTCGCTTCAATATTCATTGAAACCGTGAATTTGTAAAATGGTGCATGAAAAAAAAAGAGCAGCAGCAAACGATTCGTAACTTTGTATTCACATTTATGTGTGTCAGCTTCTCCTTTTTTTTGTGCAATACAGAAAAAACCACCTAATATCTACCATTACCTGAAGAAAACATTAAGATGATAAACAAACGAAGATATAAAGACGTGTGACGAAGAAAAAATGTCGTTTTTATTTTAACTCTACATGTAAAGTATATCTCACGACATGTTTTCACTTCTTCAGCTTGTTCTACTTATCTTTACAACACTTCTCTTTCACATTAGCCTCACTAATCCAAATCGCAGCTCTACCAATGATTATGTTCCAGATGAAGGTGCTTTGCTAACATTTACAGTGTTCTTTGGACCAAAAATTGGCAAACTTCTCATATGGATTTCCACGTTATATCAAGTATTATATCTATACCTTCAAGCCGCTCCATCAGCTTCAATTTCAACATTATTTCCGAAAGTATCAATGTTTATCAACGTCCTACCTCTTACACCTGTTTCAGTGCTTGGATATATCTTTATGATTGTTGGCGGCTTGGGAAGAATTTGGTGTTATAGGACTCTAGGAGTGTTTTTTACTTTTCAACTTACTATTCGTAGTTCTCATAAGCTAATTAAGACTGGTCCATATGCTTATGTACGCCACCCATCGTATACGTTTGTCTTTATATCGTCAATTGGACTGATTCTTGTTCATCAACGCTTGGCTAATTTTTTTTCGGATACGAGATGGATACAGATTCTGTTTGGTCCTGTAGGATTTTTAGTATGTTGTATTATAGTGATACTGATTTTAACAAGACGAGTATTGCGTGAAGAAGAAGAATTATCGAAAAAGTTTGGCAAAGAATGGACTGAGTATGCATCGAAGACTAAAAGATTTATACCCAAAATACTCTAATCAACATGCATTTATCTATACAGCTATATTGCGAAAGATAGATTTTATGAACAGAACTAACAATTCGGTTTTTTTTGTAATTATTGTAGGAGACAATCGAATATTTTTAGTTTTCTTAATAATATAATAAAGACAACTACAATCCTCTTTTAAAGATAGAAAATGTCGGAAAACTTTTGCCATACTTAGTACCTCTGATGATAGTTTCGTGAATACATACAATATATTAATTCGCTGTTTAGATATTCGTTATAGCTGATCTTACTGTTTCAAAAACTTGGGATGATGGATCAGTGCTTACGTCGAATAATAAAGACGAATATGACCGAATTAGTCAAAATGATAGCAACATCGAATGTTTTGCAAATATCTCAGTATAGATAGGGTCTGAGTGGTGTGGGTGTGGGCGCAGCGAAGAGGCACACACACCCCACATCCACACCCACACCGCACCCACACCCACACCCCATTCACACCTACACCCCACACCCCACACCCCATCCACATCCACACCCACACCCCAAGAAATACAAGAAATTTTGGTAATTTTCATAATTACTAAGAAATTTTAGTAATTACCAAAAATTCTTCTACTTCTTGGGGTAGGGCTCCTTAAATTCATATCTATCTCATCGTATCTATATGATAGGTAATAAAGAAATTATAGAAATTTTCGTAATTACTAAAATTTCAAGGTAATTACCGAGATTACCAAAAATTCTTTTACTACTTGGTGGTAGGTTCTTTAAATCTATATGTATCTTATTATATCTATACGAAATAATTTGGGAATTATAGAAATTTCTTGGTAACTTCATTCGCATGTGCTCGTATTTTCCGTAATTACTGATAAATATACTTTTGGGCATTTGATATTTATGGAAATGATCTGCTAATTTCGTTGTGTAGTATGAGTATTGACCGAAATCTTCGGGAAATTTCGTTATTTTGGTTTATGGTTGTTTTTTGAATGCTGTTGCGGTAGTTTCTGATATTCTCTGAAAATTGCATTTTGTATGGTTGCAGTTTTCAGAAATATGAATATTTGGCAGGAAATTTTCCTTGTTTTTGGAACTCTGTCCACTGATGGGACTCGAAAGAAAATGATAGTGCAAAAGAATTTAAAAGTAAAATTTTCTAGTATAATATAAATATACTGAATGATTTTTCTAATTCGTTTTTTCCTAATAGTAGATAGTGATGAAACGCAAAGAGAAAAAGAAATAGCTGGTGATTATTGGCGGTATACATTGAAACATGAAAAGGAAAATCGAATCGTAGCTGCACTGCAAAATATTGAATAAAATCAAGATTAATATTTCGTTTCCATTTTTAATTTATTTAAATTCAATTTTCTTTTTAAGGACTTCATAATTTGCCAGAACAAATACATAATACTAATCAAATATAAGTGAATTTTGTTTGACGTATTTTGTTAGTTAGTGATTATATTTTAGAGAATTCTGGTTATCAATGATTTTCATTTGGTGCTGCTACTACTAGAGAGTATTGTTTTTTTTTTGTAATTAATAAACAAGATACCATGATGTAAACAATTATTGTACAATGTAAGTTTTATATATGAACTTCCGAAATATACGATTGAAGCTTTACAACCAATTGAGGGTGTGGGTGTGGGGTGTGGTTTGAATGTGGTTGCGGGTGTGGGTGTCGGTATGTGCAGGTGGATGTGATGTGTAATTCATGCGTATAACCATCGCACCCACACCCACAGTCGCGCTCGTATCTACTAGTTCGATGAAGTTTCTCTTTCAAATTTTCATTGTCTAAAAGGTTAGATTTATGTAATTTATTTATGATCTTTGGATCGTTTGAATAATTACTTAGTCAAAAATACCTGATAAGACTCTTCAGCAAGGTCAAAACGCATCATAGTTTGCTCGGAACATCCACACTCTCAAGATTCTCAAATTAGTTATCTAATACTTGATCAAGTCTGTTTCTTGAACTCAACAGAAGTTTTCGAGATATCTGCTGTACAAACTGCGGCATCTAGGGAGACACAATGCACGATGCGAATACGATTTCATATATACATGAATGTAGTGACGCGTTAAAGAATACTATAAAAGTCCAGAAATAGAACAGTATAAAAAATATTTCAACATGCACTAAAGTGATGATATAGAAAATCAACAGGATAAATTGTTCCTACATTACAATTTCATTATTTACAAGTCTAGTCAAGTGAAATCCATCAGAAATTATAGTTTGTTTTTAGGAGAATCCAGCCTTAAATAAAATTCGGCTTGGTTTAGTAGCTCTTCCAAAGTCATAATTCTGAGATGAAGAAGCTTTGTTATGTCTAATCGAAGCGTTCGGTCGAATAAATTGAAAAATGAAGGATCGAATAGGATTATGTTGCTGCTGATTTGAAGTTACAGACGGTGAATCTTTCACTTTTACGTAACGAACTGTTGCATGCACAGGTACAGGAGGGAGTTCAATGCTTGAGGAAAGGCTAGTGGATGGTTCCGACTTTTCAATTTCTTGCGAAGAATAATTTCTTCCGTAAGGAACGATTATTTGACGACGAATACCATCGGAACTACAACAATTATTATCATTATTAGTGTTATTATGAAGAGAATCGACTTGAGCGATTCGAAGAGGTTTAAATCGTTCGTTGTGAAAAACCAGTCGTGCAGTAGAATCAAACACTTGTGAGCGAATGGTTGGAGATCCTTCAAGAAGACGATCAGTTGGTTTCTGTCTGGAAGTTTCAGCTGTACGATCAACTGAATCGTCAACGAACAAAAAGAAGTCAGTGTAATAAATTGATTGTCGTGCTAGTTTGTTTAAAGCAGCAGAAACACAGGTTAACAGATTGCAATGTTTGCCCTCGCAAAACTTAATGGAGTTGATAAGATCTAAATTCTCTTGAGTAATGACTTCGACAGTTTTGCAGAATGGTATAAGTGGAGGTTGTGTAAGTTCCATATTGCACGTATTTATTTCAATTATGTCCGATGAGTGAGCGTTTTTTACAACTATTTTTATAAGTTGAATAATAGAGGCTTTCATATTTTTGATTCTTTCTACTGTTTGGTGCACTTTGCTACGACTGATATTCGTAACAATTAGAATGAATGTACCACGGCGCCGCATCGTCGGAGAGTTGCAATTCGTATGTAGTGGGCGAACAATATCAGATTTTTCCGACGGCATAGAACATGTTAATCTATGTATAGGCTAAAACGGAAAATTTTCACTAATTATCGATTGTTTGTTCATAAAGAATTCAACTTTCCTACTGTGTTTGTAGAAAACTGCAATTTCGCAATATTCTACAAAGTATCGATAATAACTGTTGAAATAGTTACTTAGTTTTTTAAAGGTAAGAATCTCATTACAGAGTCTTTAACGTTTGGTGTCAGTAGTTTAAATATAAAATATGGAAGATATTTAAATAGATGTCATTTTGTAACTCATTATTTGTTAAACTGTATTGGGCAATTCTAAGAGTTTTACAGATTATTTTATCCATCTACTTACGTGTCTATCGTCCGAAAATAACGGTATTACATGATCAGGATATGTAATATTCTTTGTGTCAGTGTACCACCACAGAATAGTGATTGCCTTTGCTATGTTTTCAGTGCTACGATTTGGATTATCAGAAGGATAGAATACTCGGTTAAGTAGTTTGTATGTATGAGTAGGATTTTCATTGAGCTCTTGTGTTGAAGGGATTGGATATACAGATCGAATGGGTATATTAATAACTTTAGCCAATCTCGTTCAACTATCCTACACAATTAGAAGTGAAAACTGGAATATAGTAGTATCTCCGAATGTCACATAATAAGTGAAAGTTTCTCTAGAGAGATCAAAGTGAGCAATGTGATAATATTGGGCGCGTCTATCTGCAAAAGAGAGAGTAGTAATTAATAATTATTGTTTATTTTCTCTCCAGATAAATAAAATCTAGTGACGTACTCGATCTCTCTCGTACACAAAGTTCGACCAATGTTTAATATCTGCCTCGTCTGGATATAATAATGGTTCCAGAATCTCTTCGTAATCGTTTACATAACTTCTTAAATTCGAAACTGCATCGAGTAAGCATCGAAGTCTTAGTTCATTTATGTTTGCATCCAGTGGAAGTCCAAGTAATGATGCCACAGCCCGAAATAAAACGCTACCATCATTGACTATCTTTACGGGTTTTAAGGATTTTAAATCAGCATTAGGATCATTGTCGGGTAGAAGATCCAGATAAAGTTTGGCCGTTGTAGTACAGATTTTATGTTTGGTGGAGTCGAATTTTATTGGAAAATAAAGTGGTTTGGAATACTTACATAG